AATATTAAGTACAATAAGCAACTTGAAAATAATGCAACAAAAATAACAAGAAACATGTTTTTACAGTATAAAGCATTTCAACATTAATATTTATTTAAGACATTAAGAAACACTAACAGGTGTCCAAGCTGATGAGGATAAATCTTGTCTGTAAATTACAAAGGAACGCAGATCTCCTTGCAACTGCAGGTGGGAACTTAGGCACAAATACAAGTTAAATGACATGGTGCGTGGGCCCTTCTATTATAACCTACCTGAAAAGTGCATTACTTAAGCAACTGATCTGTGCCCATTTCCTTTGCGTGCCTCTCCTGACATTTTTAACCTAGTTTAGACTAACAGCAAGAAACATATCTCCAAAAAAAAAAATAAATTATTAGGTGTTGACAGAAGTCAAGTGTTACTATATAGAAAGGAAAAAAGGATTTATAAGTCGCATTGTACTTGTTCTTTGGCTTAGGGGAAGTCATTCTGAGTTGTGCTTGGCCCCCTGACAGTGAGGGACTGCTAGTGCGAGGACTTCCAGGTACCAGTGCATGGGCATTTACTTCCACGAAGCCTTCTCCTGACAGGGCAAGGAACTCTGTGTTGTAACTGCACCAGTATCTTACCTTACATTGTTAAGTTTTATCTTCAGTTTCTCCTGACCAGACCCAGGCATCAGCAAAAGTTTCTGTCTTCTTTCCTAAGTCAGGGATGATCTGAAAGGGAAATTCGAGAGTTCATTTGAGATCCTTTTTCCATAAAACCCTGTCACGAAGCCACGGGGAATCAACTTCTCAGTACCGGGGGGGGGGGGGGGGGAGGAGAAGAAGCCCACTGACTTTCGTGTATCACCTTAGTGCTAGAATAAAAGTCAGAAATTTAAATTAGTTTTGAGCTTCAGTACAGCACATCTACTGTTTTTCATATCTGCAGAATACAGAGATTTATACTCAACGTAATAATAAGTGCACAGGAACTCAGCTTCAAGTCAAAGCTCTATGCTTTACACTTAGAGACCCACTAGCGACAGTGATTGATTCAAGGTAAACAACCCGTACGCAGCTTCTCCTTGCCATCCCCAAACTGCCCCTTTCTGGGCCAAGGCAAGTGCCTGTGGAACCCAACCCCACGCGGCGTGGGCTGGCTCAGCCAGCTCTGCCCTGGGGGAGCAGAGGCAGTGGGGAACTCCCCCGTCCTACCCCCGCGCTTCTTTCCATTCTGAGGCAGGGAGAGCAGGGGTTTGGCTGCGCCGGGAAGCGGTTACGGAGCAAGATGGTTACTGCAGGCGGAGAAATGAAACAACGGCCAAGGTCTGCACCTACGGAGGAGGATGAGACTTTGCAATTTTGTCCCCTGAAGAAAATACGCTACATTAAAAACCTATAAAAGCAGCTGAAAAGGACGCCCGGCCCTGCAAGCAGCAGCTGCAGCCGGCTTTGTTCTGGGTAGCAGCCCCAGGGAGGCGGGGAGGG